CGGGTCTCGAACCCGCGGGCTCAGGCAATCCACTCACCTCAGCCTCCCAAAGGCGCAGGATTACAGGCTGAGCCACCGAGCCTGGCTTTTTCTCTCTTATTCTGACCTTCGTGAATGTTGGCCAAATGGGGCTGGGTGTGGCCACCACGGGGCTAAAGAAGGTAGCGGTGCCAGAGCTGTGAGAAGTTGTTTTCAAATGCTTCTTCTTGACAAACATGTAGAAAGGGAATTCCATTAATTCAGATGACCCAACAGGTAGGTTTTGAATAAACAGGGATTTTGAGATCAGTAAACCCAAACCTGTTCCCAGCTTGCACACTTTTCCCTGGTCACTCAGTTTCTCCTCTCCCCTCAACCCTTCACCATGTGTTGTTGGGATGCTTATAGGGCTAAATTTAAATGTGTCCTTATGGTGAGCAGGCTGTTATACCATTCATATACTCATCCATCCATCCATCCATTTGTTCCAGAAACATTGATTAGTCTCTACTGTCTGCCTAGTATGGGGATACAGAGTTGAAGAACTGCCTGCTAGGATTCTTTTGTTCAGCGATCAGCCATCATGAGCACTTTTGGTGTGCTGTGCCCCACCCTCAGTATTTGGCTTCTGGGCACACAGTCATGAACAAGGCCCAGCTCACCCACTTCCTGGCTGGATGACCTTGGGCAAGTTACCTGAATCTCTCCAAGCCTCAGTTTCCACTTCTGTAAAACGGGATGGGGTTGGGGATGATAACAGCACATAGCTCCAAGGGTTGATATGAATATGAGCTGAAGGAATCTGTGCAAAGCCCCAAGACAGTGTCCAGGACACAGTAAGCTGTCTGCAGGTGTGAGCTGTTATCATTTCCTTCCTGCCTTCATGGAGTAGTGTAATAGTGCTCTCCTAGGGATCACAGGGAGGTCACCTCTGCCGGGAGGAGCCAGGGAAGGTTGTACCTAGGGACGGACATTCAAGCTATGAGTGAAGGCTAAATGAAGGTACAGTCTTGGGAGAAGGCATTCCAGACAGCAGGAAGAGCAGGTGCACGGCAAGGAAGAGAAGGAGCATGGCAGCTGGGGAAAGGCACTTGAGTGTGGAGCAGAAGAGGCTGGAAAGGAAGGCTGGGCTGGAGCTTGAAAGGCCTCGAATGTCATATACGAAGTTCAACTTAATTTTGCAGACAATGGAGAATCACTGAAACTTTTACAGTAGGGGCATGATGTCATCAAGTGTGTGTTTCTGTGCTTTATAAAGATTATTCTAGCAACCTGTGTACAGCAGGGACAGGAGCAAAAATTCCTCCCTCTCTCCCTCCCTCTCTCCTTCAACAAATATTTATTGAGCACCCATGATGTATGAAGTTCTGTGCCAGACACTGTGAATCCAACACTGAAGAAGACAGCATCTCCGAGCTCTGGGGCCCAATGCCCTGGGAAAGACAGAAAGAGAAGGCAGAGGAACTCGCCTAGCAGCTGATATCCAGGCTGGGGTGAGGCCAGAGGCTGAGGAGGTGGATGCAGAGGAGGGGTCAGGGTTCAGGGATGCCTGATGGGAGGAAAGCGTAGAACTTGGTCATCGGTAGAATGTCCAGGGGACAGTAGAAAAGATAGACTGGTGACACTGTTCACTAGCCAGCAGTTTTCAAAGTGTGGTCCCAGGAACCTGTTGGAAAGGCAAAATCTCGGGCCCCACTTCAGGAATTCGGCTGGGGAGGGGCTCCCAGAAATGAATGAATCAGAAATACGGCTGGGAAGGGGCTCCCAGCAGTGTGTGTTGTCCCAGGCTCTCCAGGCAGTTCCCCTCAGGTTTGAGAACTGTGTATATGACCAGAGCACCAGAGGAAAGTGCTCTTTAATGGCCAGTGTGTGTCAGGGGCAACAAATTCCATTTGAGATCCCATGAGTCTGAGTGCCTGTGGGTCATTCTCAGGCGAAAGTGTCCAGGGAACAACTGGTTGCAAAGACCTAGGATTTGAAAAAGAACTGGCTACAGGTAAGGGGTAGGAGACGTCAACCTTGAAGAGGTAGCAGAGGCTCTTGAGTGACTGAGGTGGCCTGAAGAGCAGATGGTGAGTGAGGAGAGCCTGGGTGTGGAGGAGGGGAGATGTGAGTTGGCCTTGGCCGGGGAGAGGAAACACCCCTCCCTGATGGGGGAGTGGGGAGGAGAGCTGGCTGAGGACACAGGAGAGGCAGGGAGGTGCACATGGTGCCGTGTACTTTTTGTTTTTTGGGGTTTTTTTTTTGTTTGTTTTTTTGAGTTGGAGTCTCACTCTGTCACTCAGACTGGAGTGCAGTGGCCGCTCCCATCCACCGCAGCCTCGACCTGCTGGGCTCCAGCCATCCTTCCGCCTCAGCTTTCCAAGAGGCTGGAACTACAGGTGCGCGCTACCACACCCAGATAATTTTTGATTTATTGTAGAGATGAGGTCTCGCCAAGTTGCCCAGGTGGGTCTCGAACCCACGGGCTCAGGCAATCCACTCACCTCAGCCTCCCAAAGTGCTGGGATTACAGGCTGAGCCACCAAGCCTGGCTGGTGCCGTGTTCTGAATGACCTATGTCCCAGTCCTGGCTTCAAGGTAAAGGTGAGGCTCTGCCCTAGGAAAGAGGGAGCCATGAAAGAATGAGCAGTTTGAGGGGAGAACAGACCAGCATAACGCCAGAATCCAAAGGGGCCGGGGCTGTTCCTGAGCTCTGGGAGAAAGGAAGGGTGGAGTCTGAAAGCTGCCCTTGAAGGCCTGCTGCCAGCCATGCTTCTGGGACTCCAGGTGCCTTGGAGAAGATGCCTTGTGGCACAGGGCCAAGGAACCAGGTCACTGACAGCCAGCTGGAGGCAGGTGCAGGGAGGGGAGAGGTAGCAACTTTCTGCCCTCACCTCTCCCTGACAGGCAGAGGCCCAGGTCGGATGCCATGTATAGGTCAGGACAGAGATCAAGCCACTGAGGAGTTGCACAAGGGACACGAAGCCCCTGACAAGGCTGAGCCCTGAGATGGTGCAGAAAACAGAAAGTCGAAGTAGGTGACTGGACTCCTGGCCAAATGTGGGGCAGTAAGTACAGGACAATTCCAGGAAGAACTGGCAATTCCAGGAAGACCAGGAAGAGCTGGCTCGAGAGCAGGAGTTCTGAGTGCAGAGTGGTATGAGAAAGAGCTTGTCGGTCTGGGTCTGACAATGTGCAGTCAAACTCCAGCTCTGTCGCTAACTGACTGGGGGACTTGCACGAGCCACTTCTCATGCTCTTGCCCTCCAGTTTCTTATCTGTAAAACAGGAAAAGTAAAAACAGTTTCCTGTGGGTGTTATGATGATTCAGTGCCATAAACATATGTAACATCCTCAGTGTGCTGCCTTATACAGAGCAAGGACACAGGAACAGTCATGATTGTATTTTATGCAGCACATGCTCCTATATTCATCCTGTGAGTATCAGTTTGCAAAGTCCTTTCTCCTTCGTTAACCTCATAAGGCCTCTATGGGAGTTGGGTAGGGTCCCTTTTTGCAAGTGAATCCCAGAGGCCCATAGAGATGATGTGGCTCCGCCCCAAGTCACATGACTCAAAGGTGGCAGACCAGGACACACATCAGAGTGCTGACTCCTTTGGTAGTGCTTCCAGGGAGCAATGCCACATCCTGCTCACCACCATGCTCCCAGTGCCAGACACTGTAAATGTTTGTTGAGTGAGCGAATGTGCGAGTGAGTGAGGAGCCAGGGATGAGTGAGAGGAGACCGGATGAACAATGTCTTCAGTTCTTTGCCTTCACTATTACTGCTCAACCCGGTGGCCATGAATACCACGTGGCCACATGCTCCGGCCATCCCAGGGGCCCACCCACCTGAGACCTGGCCATCTGAGCACTATTGTTTCCCCAGGAGAACAGTCTCAAGTCCGGGAAGGGGGCAGCTGCCATGATCCCAGGCCCACAGACGGTGGCCACGGAAATCCGTTCTCTTTCTCCGGTAAGTAGGTGAGGCCAGCTCAGGCTAGGGACTCCAAGCTGAGCATGTGGGCATGGGCCGTGCGTGGCCTGCAGCAAGTGCAGCATGGAGCCCCGAAGGTGCCCTTTTAGTACAGAGCCAGGAAACTGGAGCATTTTCAGATGCTCACAGGGCCCCCTGGTGCCCACCAGCGTCACATCAGTTGTGTCCCACCCTCCACATACATGTAAGCAGGACATTGGCAGAGCAAGGGCATTGGTGGTACCTTGATGGTTCTTTTGCCTTCACTCTCCTTACTGACCAGGAAGAGCAATGAGCTAGGAGTCCAGAGGCTTGGATTCTGGACCTGGCTCTGTCAGCGACTGCCCTGTGACCCCAAGTCTGTCACTGTGAGGTCTCTTCCAGCTCTTACCTTCTCCAAGTCTGTTGTTCTCATCATGCTGCTCTGGAGAGAGCGTGTTCCTGGTTGTGACAGGATGAGGGATCGGGAGGCCTTCTGTTTCCACCTTGGATCCATCTGTTCATTCTTTTAAGACGCCAGGATTCTTAAACTCTAGGGTGTTGTTAGGGTTCTGGGCCTCAGGAATCTCATGGTCTAGGAATCTTAGGGTTTGAGAGTTTTATGAATATAGGATTCAGAAGATTCAGCATTCTTAAATTCTTAATGGTTCAAAGCATCTTGGCTTTGAAACCACCTTCACCAGGCCCCCACTGGGGCCCTCTGGTTTACCCTACCCTACCTCTACCCCTGCAGAGCTCAGTTTCCTTACCAGACACTCGGGGTGGGGGTGGTTATATTCTGCAGATCATCGGGAAAGATGTCCTCACCAGCACCTACGGCGCCACCGCGGAAACCCTCTCCACCTCCACCACCACCCATGTCACCAAAGTGAGTAGCAGCAGGGCACCCCATGCCCCCGCCGGGCTGCAGGCAAGAAGGTCATGACTGTTGCTCTGCTTTGGCTTCTCCATCTGTACAGTAGACAAAGAAGATTGGTAGTGCCACGGGTTTCTGGGTTGCTGTGCACTTTGTCCTGTGCTATGTGTTGTCTTAGGCACGGGACCTTCCCATAGCACTGACAGCCAGGCTGGGGGGACAAGACCCTCTCCTTCATAGTAATTGTGAACCATGGTATTTGTGCCTTACAGACAGTAAGTGCTGGAGGAATCTGGAAGGAATCTGGAAGGGGTGATGTATGGGAGTCTCCCCAAGGGTCAGGAAGTATCTCCTGGGACAAACGGGGCTTGAGTAGGGTCTTGGAAAGCCAGGCAGGACTCCTGAGGGAGGAGACAGACACAGGCATTCTCAGCAAAGCAGAAGATGGAGCAGAAGCTGTGCATTTGTTTTTTGGTGGAGTATTTGTCAGTGAGCATCAACTTAATGTTGGCCTCTGTGCTGGGGCTGCTGGAGGTGGCTGAGAGCGAGTCCTGTTTGTGAGAAATGAGAAGCACATGTAGGGAGTGTAACTGAGAAATTAGGTTGCACTGAGGGCGGGGGATTGGAATGTAGAGCAAATGAGAAAAATACCAGGACACATTTGACTGTAGAAGATCTTAATTTAAGGGAAATCGGAAAGCCATGAAGATTTTAAATTGGATAGTGACCCAGTGAAAATAGGTTTAAGGAGAATATATTAGGCCCACCAGGATGTGCAGATAGATGGGAGACAGAGGAGGAGAGGCATGGAGGGAGACTGATAATAACTCAGGGGTCAGGGAGGGCCTGGGCTAGGGTCAAAGTCAGAGCCAGGGTGGGGAGAGGAGGGCGAATGGAGGGAGACCTTCCAGGGGCACTCGCCATGATGCAGCTGGTGAGGACAAGGGTCTGGGAGGCAGGCTGCAGGCATGTCCATGCCTGAGTGTCCAGGAGGAAAGCTGGAAGGGTCCCAACCAGGGCTGGAGGCCTGGGGAGCCAGGTCGAGCCAAGCTGAGCTGGAGGCTCCGGTGAGGCATCAGAGAAGTCTGGTCGGTTGCACATAGACTCTGTCCAGGCCCCTGCGTGCCCCTGCAGGAGTCAGCACATTTCACATTCCCCATAAGGAACTTACTCTCACCAAAAGCATTAGTGAGCAATGTTGACTTCTCTGAAACCTTTATGGGAAGGTTGTATATCACACACCCCACAGCATCCAGCTCAGAAAACCCTCCTCCCCAAGGTCCCTCTTGGCCCTGCCGACTGAGAGCCCCTTCTTTCTGTCCACTCCTGACTCCAGCTGGGATTCCCATAGTCATCACCCTCCTTCAACATTCCCAACAACTAGGTTCAACTAGTAAAACAGCTTTTGCTTCTAAACTTGGCCAAATGCCATGGCTTCAGAAAACAGTGGAGGTCATAAGTATCATCAATGCAATTTTATCTTGTAGTATTGTTCAAAGTCATTTAAGGTAGAACTTTGTCACCATTCACATTTCATTCATGTGTTCATTCAACAAATCTGCATTCAGCACCACCCTCATTAGATTGAGCAAGGGAGAGGGGGAGGAGGGATACAGAGATGAACAAATACAGGCCCTCCCCTGAGAGCTGGCAGCTTGGTGAGCTGAGCAAGGCCAGGTACACACAAAGGTCATCACCAGGCAGAAAGGCCCAGAACTGCAAGAGAGAGACTCAGTGCTCGAGGAGTACCAACGCAGGAAAGCAGAAGCACTACCAGCCAGGGTCAGGGAGGCAGCGTTTGAGCTGGGTTTGGAAGACCTAGAGGGGGCAGTTCGGTAGTTGGGAGAGTGAGCAACCGGGCAAAACCTGAAGTTTGAAGTCCTAAAACTAGAAAAGAAGAACCTGAGGCAGTCAGGAGAGAAAGTAACTGCTGGTTGTCAGCCTTGCCTCAAGTGGTGCTTTGTAGGTCCCCCGTCGCGGTGGCTGCCCCAGTGGGACCCAAGAGTGACCTCCCCTCCCTCTTCCTCTGCAGACTGTGAAAGGGGGGTTTTCTGAGACAAGGATCGAGAAGCGAATCATCATTACTGGGGATGAAGATGTTGATCAAGACCAGGTATGGGGGTTGGTGACATTATCCCCAGTGGCACTGCCCAGTCCCCAGTCCCTTGCATGTTGGGCTACCTGTAGCTGCCTTCATGGGCAGAGAAGGTGTCCCCTTCTTGCTGACCCTGTGCAGATAGGAAACCCCCAAGGAAGGGGCATTGAATGGGAGCCAGAAGGAGCCAGAAGACCCAAGCTCTAGCCTCTCCCTTTAACTGTTTGACTTTGTCCCTCCCTAGGCCTCAGTTTCCCCCACTGTGCGCTAAGGGACTTGTCCTCTCCAGTCTCTCCCATATTCGATATTCCATGTTCCTCACTTTGCTGCTCTTTCCCACCAGGCCTTGGCTTTGGCCATCAAGGAGGCCAAACTGCAGCATCCTGACATGCTGGTAACCAAAGCTGTCGTATACAGAGAAACAGACCAGTCCCCAGAGGAGAGGGACAAGAAGTCACAGGTAAGGCTTCTGAGGTTCAGCAGCCATGAGGGGATGGAGCAGAAGCAAGAGCCTCTGAGGGTCATTTCCATCTGAGAGCCCAGGTGGCTTGATTCCTAGTGCAGCTTTGACCCCCTGCCTTTCTGATTGCTGCTCCAAGGAGAGAGGCAGCTCCTCCAGATGGTGAGTCCCTGGGAAGAATGAAGACCGATTCTTTGGTTTGTTTGGGATTCCAGGCCCCAGACCCAGAAAAATAAATCCAGAAGTTATAAAAGAGGAGAGAGGATTGGGTATTGGTGTGGGACAGATGGAGGCTGGTGACCTCATTGGTTGTTGCTGTACGCTGGAAGTCAGAAAAGGTCCTCCTGGATCCAGTGCCACAGTCCTGAGTCTCTATCTCTATCACAGGTGACTGGCTGTTGCTAAGGGGACATGATGACCAGAGCCCTTGATCTCATCTGTCTCACTTGATTGCAAACACTTGACTTCTCAGGCCTCCAGGGCCAGAATTGTAGGGACCTTCGTGTTTGTCTGTTTCGACATGGGCCATCGATGCCTTGGTGAGGAAGGGAAATGAGATGATGTTGAGGCAGATGGGGCTCTTAGCAGCCCAGACTGGGGGAGGGGTTCTTCTGACCCCTCTGGAAATTTATCAAATTTTATCAGACCTATAAAACAAAATCCCATAGACATTGAGTGGGGTGAAATAAACCAGACACAAAAAGCACAAACTGTATAATTCCATTTATAGGAAGCCCCAAAACAAGCAAACCTAATCAACGATGATGAAAATCAGAATAGTGTTACTTCTGGGATGTGGTATTGACAGGGAAGAGCCACAGGGAGACTTGTGGGGTGCTGGAAGTGTCATCTTCAGCTGGGTGAGTTATGTGGGTGTGTACATATGTAGAGGTTTGTCCAGCTCTTAAGTAAAACTTAGATTTGTGCACATCACACATTTCACAGGTTGTGCCACAGTGAAAAAAATTCACCTCAAAGACCCCACAAATAGCTGGTCTTCTCATTGCCCCTTTCTTGGAAGGAATGAAACCAATGTTTTCTAGAAAGATTCAAGAATGTTTCTCTTTCTTCCTTTGATTGCCACCCCACTAAATGTCAGAAGAAAAAGCACTGAAGCATATTCCTGCCATTCTGAAAGGCTGCTAACCTCCAGTCTAGACCAGGGCTTTCAGTAGAACTTTCTGTGGTGATGGAAATGTTCTTTCTGTGCTGTTTGGCACAACAGCCACTAGCCACACATAGCTGTGGAGCACTTGAAATTAGCTAATCCGAAATGAAATGTGCTTCAGGGTGAAATACATGCAGGATTTTGAAGATTTAATATGAAAAAGACAATGTCAACTATTTTAATAATCTTTATACTGGTTATGTGTTGAAATGATAATGGATATGTTGGGCTAAGTACAAGATATTAAAGTTAACTGATTCATTTTGTTGTTTTTAATGTAAATTAAAATTAAAATTTTTAATTTTGAAATTAAAATTGTCTATGTACTTAGAAATTCTTAGAAAAATAGAAATACATATCTAGAAATTCAGGAAATGTTATAGTAAATCTATTATCTACTATTACAATCTATAGTAAATCTGATAATAGTAAATCTATTATCTAGGAAAGTTTTCAATTTCACATGTGGTTCACATTCTGTTTCTATTGGACAGCGTTGGTCTGGAGGTATAAGTTGGCCACAGGTGAAGCCTCTCCCAGCCTTCCTTGGGCTTTTATACAAGTGGTTTTCATTTCTGTACCCTCAGTTGTCCAATTAGCCTTGCTTTTTCTCCCTCTCATCTCAGAGTGGTAGAGAGTAGGTCACTTGCCCAGCTGGAGCTGAGCCAGCATATCACCTGGGGAAACTTGTTTAAAATACAGGGACTGAGCCGGCTCAGTGGCTCAGCCTGTAATCCTGCGCCTTTGGGAGGCTGAGGTGAGTGGATTGCCTGAGCCCACAGGTTCAAGACCCGCCTGGGCAACTTGGTGAGACCTCATCTCTACAGTAAATCAAAAATTAGCCGGGCGTGGTAGCGCGCACCTGTAGTTCCAGCTACTTGGAAGGCTGAGGCAGAAGGATCACCAGAGCCAGCAGGTCGAGGCTGCGGTGGCCAGGAGCGGCCACTGCACTCCAGTCTGGGCGACAGAGTGAGAATCCAACTCAAAAATAAAAATAATAAAAATAAAATAAATTTAAAAATAAAAAATAAAATAAAATAAAATAAGGGACTGGAGGAGACCCTTGTCATAATGTCTGATTTAGAAAGGCTGACCTGGGACCTGGGCTCTGTATTGCCTGGGACTCTTTGCTGACACCTTGGTCCTTAGCAAGTTCCCATGCAGCCAGGTGCAGGAGTCACTGAGGCAGAGAACTCTGCCCTGAGAACCCAGGGACCGTTCCGCTGACTTGCCTGACTGCGGATCAGCCTTCTCCCTCCTGGGGACTCCGTTTCCTCGTTTGCAGAGATGGAGGGAGCCCCCTTCCAGTTATATTCCTCTGGCTCTTTGCTTCCCGGGGTGCCTGTTGTGTGTTTGTCATCTCTTCTCCATTGCCCGTCTCACGCCTCCTCATCTTTCCGGGGCGTTCAGAGCCAGTCCCCCAGGCTCCTGCCTTCCCAAGTGCTGGCCCATTCAGAGCTCTCGTCCCAGCCTCCACATCCTGCCTGCCCCACTGCCATTCAGTCTTTCACATCTGCCCACTTTGCTGCTCTCTTTGCTGTCTCATTCCCTCCTCCTCACCTCTCTTTAATTCTTTCTTTGATGCCATTGCCCCACGCACCACCATGTACCCTCTCGCTCTTTCTTCTGCATCGTTCTGTAAAGGTCACCTTGTTTATGTTGCCCTGGAGAGCCAGAAGTTTCTGTGTCTTGCCTGTTCTGCCCCACATGCTTATCAGTAGTGATTGCCAAGTAGGAGCCACCTCTGACTTTTAGTATAGTCAGACTCACTGATTCTTGGGAGAGATTTCTTCCCCTCCCTCTCTCCCTCCCTCCGTCCTCCCCTTCCTTCCTTCTTCTTTTTCTTCTTCTTCTTCTTCTTTTTTTTTTTTGGACTCAGGGTCTCACTCTGTTGCCTAGGCTGGACCTTCTGGGCTCAGGTGATCCTTCTGCCTCAGCATCCTGAGCAGCTAGGACTACTGGCACATGCCAGCACACCTAATTTTTTTATTTTTTGTAGAGACGAAGTTTCACTGTGTTGCCCAGGCTGGTCTCAAACTCCTGAGGCTCAAGCAGTCCACCTGCCTTGACCTCCCAAAGTGCTAGGATGACAGACAAGCCACCATGCTGGACCAGAAAATTCCTTTTGAAAGTCTTGAAAAACAATGGCTTAATGGATGGATGCATCTTGGTACCCCAAGGAAGAGCTCTGTAGTCCTGCAGGCCTAGCTTCAAAACGCAAGCCCTGCCCTTTACTAGCGATGTGACCTTGAGCAAGTTATTTAACCTTCCCAGCCTGCTTTTCCTCATCAGTCAAATGGTAATGATCATCATAGTAACAACAATTGCTATGCTTTGTGAAAGGCTTACCTTGTACCAGGTTCCAGACCGTGCACCCAACATAAGTATTATTATCTGTTCATTCATTTTACAAATGAGGAAACCGAGGTTCAAAGGTGTTACGCAGCTGCACACAGTCATGAAGTGGGAACAGCTTCTTACCACACTGACTTTTCTTTTCTTTTTTCAAGTCAGAGTCTTACTCTGTCCCCCAGGCTAGAGTGCAATGGCATGCTCACGGCCACCACAGCCTTGACCTACTGGGCTCAGGTGATCCTTCCGCCTCAGCCTCCGGCTAATTTTAAAAAATTATAGAGACGAGGTCTCACCGTGTCGCTTAGGCTGGTCTCAAAACCCTGAGCTCAGGCAATCCTCTCACCTCCACCTCCCAAAGCGCTGGGATTACAGGCTTGAGTCCCTGCACCCAGCCACACTGACTTTCATTGTACCTATCTCATAAGGTTACAGAGATCAGACATTTATGGTAGTTAGCATAGTGCCTGGCACATAGTAAGCACTTAATAAAAGTCTATTATGACTCTTATTACTATTAACTCAAAGTAGGCTAACAAAATGCTGGACTCTGCTATAATAAACTGAGAAGACTACATTGTAACATGGTATTGTTTAGCTGTCCCTGGTGCTTCTGAAGCATCTGTGGACTTCAGAAGACATCTCACATAACCTGAATCATGGTTAGACTGTCTATGGGGCACCTGCTTCATTAATAGATGAAAAAAGTTATTGATTGGTCGATTGATTGAGTTGGGGTCTCACTCTGTTGCCTAGGCTGAAGTGCAGTGGCTCACAGCTCACTATTGCCTCGACTTCTTAGGCTCAGGTGATCCTTCCACTTCAGCCTCCCGAGTAGCTAGAACTACAGCCATGCCCAGCTAATATTTTTGTCTGTTTGTTGTAGAGTCATGGTCCCACTATGTTGTCTAAGCTGGTCTCAAACTCCTAGGCGCAAGCAATCCACTTTGGCCTCCCAAAGTGCTGGGATTACAGGTGTGAGCCACTGTACCAGTTCCTAGATGAGCAAATTTAAAGTACAGGCTTCCACTCTAAGAAAAAAAAAATCTCTAGTTAGCATGTAGCAGAATTGAGTAGAAAGAATACACCCAGGCTTTGGCACCAGAAACATCTTGGTAGCTGTGTGCCCAGAGGAATCTCTCTGGCCTCCGTTTCCTCCTTTGTAAAACGGAGTTAAATTCCAAACTGGAGCTGCTGTAATAACTAAACAACACCTGTGACGCACTGCCTCAGAGTCGCACATGTGAGGTGAAGCTGCTTCTTTGTCCCTCTGAGGTTTGCCATGTTCAGGAGTTGATGAGAGCCCTAAGAAAGTCAGACTATAAACTTCTCCCCCAATGGCCTGGTGCATGAGACCCTCTCCACGAGGCTGTTCATTTTGCAGGTGTTCATCTTATCTCCCTAAATACTCCAGAAACATCTGTCGCTGCTTCAGTTGACTCTTGGCCTTCCTTCTGAAAGTTCCTAAAGAGAACCTGTCTCCCAAACACTGCCAGCAAGAGGGCAGCACTCACCTAGCTTCCTAGAGCTTGTTAACCTTCCAACATTTAAATGGGAAACAACTGACCTGTTCCCAAGAACCTGGGATTCTAGTCTTGGTTTTGCCTACTTCCCAAGTCAGTGGATCCCCTGGGCCTCAGTTTCCTCATCTGTCCAATGAGCCAAGAAGGACCCCTTTTCTATGGTTCCATTAGCACTCGACCGTGTGTGAGTGGTAAAATGCAGGGATGATAGTCTATCCATTAAGTGGTTTGGAGTAGCTGCTGTGTGCCAGGTACAGTGTTGGACACTGGAAAGACTATAGGTAAAAGACAATCCCTGCCTTCAAGGAGATCAGAATAGTGTGTAGTTAAATTAATAGCATCAACAATAGTAATAATAATAGCCAGGATTTATTTTAGCACTTATTGTATGCTAGGCACTTGCTTTGATTCCGCCCTATAACTGCTTGAGACAGGAAGCAACTGAGCCTTAAAAGAGTTAAGAAACTCACCTAAGATTATAGAGCTTGCAGGCCATGGAGTAGGATTTGAACTCAGAGAGTCCAACTTCAGAGCCCACGCCCTTAGACGCTGAATTTTTGATTCAAACCTGAGTTGAAATCCAGGCTCCAGTTTATTTAAATACTGTTATCTGGGGTTAATCTCCAGGACACAGCAGGCCCATGGAGAACAAAAAGGAAAAACAAACCCCAGAAGAACATCTGTAGTCATGACTAAACATTTCTTAGAATCAACAAAAGACAGGAAGAAAGAGTGAAATGATCGTGATCCTAGCTTCTCAGTGTTAAAGGATGTTTTAACAAATTTTCAGGCCAGAGTAAAAAATAGCACCTCTCTGGAAACAAACAAGCAGACGTGGGCTCTGGAGTCTGACAGACATGGGTTTAGTTCTCGGCTGCCATATACAAGTTGTGTAGCCTTGAACAAGCCATTCTCCCTCCCTGAGCCAGGATAAGGGGCATCCAGTGAAGAGTAGCTAAAACAAGTTCTTGCCATGTATTTAAAGATAAGCGACAAAATTACTGACTCCTCTTGGCCTCTTCCTCCCTCCCAGGAATCCTGACCTCTGTGAAGAGATGCTGGCATTTCTGGTCCAACCCAAGCCAGAGAACCATTAAGAAGGGGCCTTCACTCTGGATTCTCCGACACAACACCGACGTCCCAGCTGCGACGTACTGTCACTGATGAGAGACTGGGAAGGGAAAAGCATATATATATATATATAGATATATATAGATAGAGATATATATACAGGAAACACCGCGTCCTTGCACTGCTGCTTGGGCTGGCAGAGCTGTCGGCCAACAGCACCAACCAACATCTGAATACCTACATTTCCTTTGCAGACACATTGAAGATTGGTGGGATTTCTCGGGGAAAAAAAATTATAATAACCAGAGTCCCTTGCTCCTCCTTTTCCCCTGCTGAACAACAAAAGCAAGCCAGACCACGGTGATTGGAGAAGCGCCTTCCCACCCTGGCTCCACACGCTGCAGTTAGTGGACGAGCATTCCATTTGTGCTCAGCATCTGTTGCCCACTTGAATGCAAAGGAAAACACTGCAGCAAAGCAAGAGAAGTCGCAGCAGCAAGACACGCACAGTCAACCGTTTTCTGAGAAAGAAGGAAAATTCCCTGCGTGGAAAAGAGGAGGAGGAACACTGGATTATTATTTTCTGGGTCTTGACACTGGGCTGCAAAATCCACCTTCCTTTCTTCCACCACCCTCACCCTTGACTCTCACTCGTCTTGTCGTCATTTTCTGTCTGGGCTCCCTCCTCCCCCTCCCCCCTCGCCCTCTGTGTCCTGGTCCTACGAGGGCCACTGCAGATGACTCTCCTTTGAAATGAGGAAAAGAAAAGAAAGCAAAAACAGAAAACTAAGCCACAGGAAGGGAAGTAGACATTGTACGCTTATGGTTTCTCATTATGAAGGTGCAGCTTGTAGGAGATTTGTATGGATGTGCTTTTAAGTTATGTATATGATATATAACAGGAAACATATTAAAATAAACAGTGCTGGTAAGTATGAAGCTGACATTTAAAAATTATAATCATCTGACTGTGATTGATGTATCCTACGGTTCCTAGAGCTCACTGAACTGGCCCAGCTAAGGAGACCTGGACTCTGGGTGTGGGTTGGCTCACAGTAGGAGCTGACGGGTTCAGTGTAGTAATACTGTGTGTGGTGTTTGTAACTGGTTGATTGGTGGGGGGGAAATGGGGCCCCGGATGGAGAGGTGGGGGCTTGGCAAGAAGGAAGTAACACAAAGGTCGTCCTGAGCATGCCAGTCCAAGATGCCTTCTCTACCGGGCAGTACAGTCAGGGCCTGGTCTGTGCTCAGGCATGGGGTCCTGACTTAGGACTCTGCTGCTGAGGTCCCCACAGTAGGGGTCCCTAGCTCAGTCCTCCTACCTCCCTAGGGGACTTGTCTTGGTTTTCATTTCTCTTCCTTAATTTTTCTTTTGCCATGTCTTGCCCTTCCCTGCTCCCATTGTGATGACCAATTCCATAGCCAAAGGGAGGTGGTGCCCCTGCTGCAAGAGAAGACAATGGCTTCAGCCTAGCTGCCTGAAAATTTCCAGATCGCTCCTTTCCTCTACCCCTTCCTTATTATGAATCATTCTTTTCTTCCTGGGACAGAGTAGCCATGGTAAAGAGGCCATGAGTACAGGAAGACCCTGGTAGGTCAAAACTCCCCTGCCCCGGGACGTGCTGAGCTGAGGGTGAAAGGCGGTGTTGCTTAAAGGCTCCCTCCCCCTATAAGACCTTGGCTTTGGGAACCTTCCCTTCAGTCAGCATCTAAGCTCTGACCTTGTGCCCAGAAACTGCCTTGAGAGCACAGGAGCCCGTGGAGAAGACTCTGTCACAGGCTTGGCATTGCCCTTTGGCACATGAAAGCTTCCTCAGGCCTGCCTGCCACAAGCTCCTACTTCCCTGAGCTCAGTAAGTGTCCCTTTGTGATGGAAGATATCCCACTGCACTGTCATCTCTCGGTTCCATTTCACCTCCCAGTCCTGCTAAAGAAATCAGTAATTTCATTCAATACGTATTTATTATCTACTTGTGCCAGGCACAAGCTGAGGGAGGAAGTAGGAGGGAGGATGGAGCCTGGAAAGCTATCTGAGCCAGGCTCACATCTCCAACCACACGTGATCCATCTGAGAGCATCTCCCCACTCCCTCCACCCTATTGGCCATGGCCCAGGGATGCCCCAGAGGGCCCAACTAGAGGCATCCCCTTGGCTTGCTTGTCATGGGTGACATACGCTTTAGCCACTGAGCTGGTGCTGGCCTGAAGCAGGGCAAGGAACTAGAGTAGCCTTTGCCTCTCTAGGCAGATGGGAAGTCCAGGGGCTGTCAGATGGCAGGATCAGCTGCATCCCCCTGGAGCAGGCCAGCAGGCCCTCTCCAACTCCCCCTGAGTGCAGCAGCACACTTCCCAGGCTATTCTTGCAGTCCTGATGGAAAGCCATAGAACCTTCTTCCTGCCCTTCACAACTTGAGAGATCTCACTCTTTCTGGACCAAGAACTGGAGTGGCTCCAATCCCTCTGGGCCACTCAGAGGTCAGCTCAGGCACCCATCTTTGCAGGAACCTGAGAATACTGGACATACCTCGGAGGGAGGGTCTTTGCTCTGGGTTTTGCAGCTACCTGCAGACCCCAGGTATGTGGCTTCAGGGCAGGGATGAAGTGGCAGGCTTAGCTCGTGGGCCACCAGGGTTTGGGGAGATCTCCATCCTACCGATGCTCTGACCTTCCTTCCACGGAGAGGCAGGCAGCGCCACAGGGGAGGAGGGGACCTGCAAAGCCAAAATCTAGGGCACTGTTTTCTCCCCATCCTCCTCTTCATAGAGAATAGAGACGTTTGTCTTGTCTGTCTTCAACCTACTTTTCCTGTTTTCTTTTTTATGTTTTTCATTCTCTCTGTGCTGCCTCTTCACTCAGAAGGCCATGTAGCATCGTGGAAAAAGTCCTGGAGGGCAGTCAGGAGTTCTGGGTGACCATCCTGGCTCAGCCCCCAACTTACCACGTGACATCAGGCTATTCCCATCCCCTCTTTGGGCCTCAGTTCCCTCGCTTTCAAAATGAACAGGGAAAACCAGATGTTCTCCAGGGGCTTTTTCTACTCTGCCATCTTACAGCTCTCCACTGCCTCTTATTTTGCTTTTTCTGATCTTTTCCATCTGAGGGTACAGGAAGTGCCAGGCCCTGTTTCAGTTTTGAATCCTGCAAGCACATTCCAAGACTGGCCTGAAATTGCATGAGCAACGTCACTCTCAATGATTTTTTTCAAAAGCACCTTGCCACCCAACTGCGATCCTGTCCTGTTCCTTTTTGCTCACACCCCCTCCCCTCCCCCTTTTGTCCCCATGCTCCCCCACCTCCGTGCTCCGTGCTGTATGCGTGTGCTATCTGTTCTTGTATACTCAATAAAAGTGAAATAAATGTGTTTGATGCTGAACCACATTTCCCTGGCACTTCTTTCTCTTTCTCTCTCCGACCCTGGCTCCTGGCACAAGTTGGCATTGTGGGAATGGCTAAAACTGGAGTAGAGACATTCCAAGTTAGAACACGTTTATTCAACAAATATTTGGAGTTTGCAGTGTGGTCCAGGCCTTGGTTTAGGTTCTGCAGGTACAACAGCAAACAAGACAAAAGCTCCTAGCCTCCAGGACTCACAGGCCAGAGGAGGAAACAGAGAACAAGACAGTCAAGTGGTCAAAGACAGTTAGAGAGTGACCAGCACCAGGAAGGAAATGCACAGGGGGAAGGGATGGAGGGTCACTGAAAGAGACCGTGTGAAGGTGAGCCGTCTCTGAGGAGGTGACTTTGGCACTGAATGAAGAAAAAGATACGGTAAGGTGAAGAACTTCAGGGAGGGCATTCTAGGCAGAGAGGACAGTAAGCATATAGGCCCCAAGACATGGAGGGGTTTGTTGAGTAAAGAAAGAGCATGGCTCCTCCTCCTCCTGAAAGAAGGGCACCTGCACTGAGGTCTCTCCTTCTCCAACCCCACTATAGGGGAGCCTAGTGGAAAATGGACACAGCAATCCCCAACGTCTGCCTTTGCCTACAACCCGCATACGAGCTCCCATATCCTCACACCACCTGTCCCATCACTCACTGACTGATTTTTCTTTCAATTGACTCGCGTATTTGAAAACAAATTTTTTTTAAAAGAGACTCTATTCCTTCCATAAGTGGAAAGCTAGTGTAACTTGCCAAAGAAAGGAGGTCTTCACAAAATAAAGGCAAAAATATGAAAATCAGAAACCATAATCCATGGAAAAAACATCCTTGGGCTATCCGAGGTGCATGTACCACATTTTCCTTTTTATTCGACCAAGCAACTCACCCCAAGCCATTGTTCTTACTGCCCCAAGTCTGACTAGTGAGTCTTTTTCCCATGTGTATGTGTTTTCCCAGAGGTGAGGTCATCTTGTACATGCCATTGCAAACATGTATTAAAACTTACATCCTGGGCATTGCCTTATACTTTCAAATACTAAATACATCTTTTCTTTGAGAAGGTAACTCGTTAAATGATACAAAAGGCTATGCAGTGAAAAGCGATTCTTCAGTCTTCTCCTGTTCATTGTCAGAGGCAATTACTGCAAGGAACATCATGAGTTCTTCCCTGAATTTTCCCTGTTGGTTTCCTCTAGCAATCTGTCACCCTGTGGGGAACTGGAATAGGACTTGGTTTGCAAACCCCAGTTTCCTGTACAATTCCTCAGGCCCCTGCATACCTGAACCTATATTTCTGTCTCTGGCCTTCTCTGCTTCTTGGGAATAATGAAGGGCAGGTTCATCTGACCAGTGTTTTTCACCTGGAGTGGAGGAGAGGGACATTCTCCCCTACTCCCAGGGAGCATTTAGCAATGTGTAGAGATATTTTTGGTTGTCACAGCTGAGGAGTGCCACTGGAATCTAGAAGGCAGAGGCCAGGGATGCCACTAAACACCCTACATTGCACAGGGCAACCACCTACAACAAAGAGTTATTTGGCCCCAAGTGTCAGTAGTGCCAAGATTGAAGAATTCTGATCTGGATGGACATGCAATCCACCAGGCCACTATCTACAGCTTCTGTGTCCAGTGTTCAGTGCTGTGGAGTCTAAAGAAGATGGTGATCCCTCCTGGAACAAGGAGCTGTGAAAGCCCACAGCACTCAGCACCTGAGACTGGGAGTGAGAAGGAGCAAGGAGGAAGCTGAGCAGCTTCATGTGGGAAATGAAACTGACAGGACAGGTTGAGATTGATAAGCATGACTGTGACTGATAGAGGCTGTTTCTGGTTAATCCTGCAGCAGCTCATTGTGATTAACCATGACGGCAGGGCCTGGTCTAGTCTGCAACACACTAAGAGATAAATTTTGACCGAGACAAATTGGCATGCCCAGCTGTTACTGAGGAAGTGTGACAGACAAGCTAAGGAGCAGCAGCACAGAGATAAGAACAGCCAGTTAGACCTGGGTTTGCATTCTTGCTCTGTCACTCTCTGGCTGTGTAACACCACTTTGAACCTCAGTTTTCTCTTCCATATATTGGAAATTCTAATGCCAATTGACTAGGGTTAGTGTAAAGATTAGAAATATTAAGTGACCTGGCCTGTGGTTTTTGGTCTTGTCTAGCCAGCTCTCACAACCATGTAAGCCAATTCCTTGTAAGAAATCACTTAATAAATACCTCCTACTGGCTCTGCTTCTTTGGTGGCACCCCAATTAATACAACCACCTATCACAGGGTTAAGCCCAAGATGGAAGCCATTTATTAATACCAAATTACTGTCACTATTAATTAAATGCATAATACATATACTGAACTGAGCTTTTGTGCCTGACTTTGTGTTAGGTTCCAGGGAAATAGTGGAGAACAAGACATGCAGTTTGGCTCCCCCAATGTGCATTTAAAGCTTGACTGTGATGTCAGACTAGGTTTGCAGGATACTGGGTGATCATGGGACTGATGTGGTGACTACTGCTGAGGCTGGTTCTCTCTGGACTGGTATGGCTGCGTTTCTGAGGCTGTCTCCTAGAGCTGAGAGTGCCTGGGAGCTGGGACACTTGGCGGGGAATGGAGACTGGCTTAGTGGGACACTGTGACCGGGATTGGTGACTGAGCGTCTGACTGGCTACTGGATAGCCATGACCTTGGCTGTGTTTAGTGACTATGACTGCTTGAAACTAAAGGACTATGGCTGGTGGATGTGTTTCTGGAAGGGGATCTAAAATGTATAGTTCAATGAAAGTTGTTAATTCACATTTTAGAAGCTAAAACGAGAAATTAATAATAGCAAAATGCAACATCAGATTGGGCGGAACCTACAGGCAACGGGCCATTTTTTCCGTGACCGAGGACTCAACCGGGCCGCTTTCTCCGTAGCTCCCTACCGGCCCGAAAGCAGAACTTCCGTTGTGTTTCCACGGTAGCCGGATTTCCGCGGTGTGGCGAGGCGGTGAGTGCGGCCTCCGGGTCTCCTTTTTCTCCTGAGGTTTCTTGTGGGTGGCCGGGCCGCCCCTCCTCCGCTCGCAGTCGCGGCGCCTTGGGCTAGACCCACCTCGCCGTGGCGGCTGCGTCTCCGTCTGCGGGCCGGGGGTGGGACGCTGGTGTCACCGGAGGCCTTTCTCCGCGCGCCCGCCACCGGAGACACGCCAGGGTGGCGGGCACGCGGAGCAACTTCCGTTTCTTCTTCACTTTAGAGCTTGGGAGCCGAGACCTGGGCCGCACCTGGCCGGGTCCTGCCCTGCTCTCTGCGTGGCTCCCAATAAGGTCTTTCCCCGCACTGAGCCTGTTTTCCCGTTTCCAAAATGGATGTCATGCTTTTGCTAAGTAAGCGTTTACTAAGCGCTAATATGTGCCGGGGACACAGAAGGACTCAAGGTCGTGGAGGGAACAGCCCCCTGTCAGACTTGCAACCGTGATACTTGGAATGGAAAGGTACAAGGCACCCTGAGTGTGTCACGGGAGACGACCGCGCCCCTGCTCAAGGAAGCTACTGAGGAGGCGAATATTGAGTTGAGATCAGAAAAATGATTTGACCAAGTGGGGAAGGAAGAGTTTTCTGCCTGGGGACAGCTTCCGATTTGAGGACCTGAGAGAAACCAGTGTGGCTGAACAGAGCTCTTGTGGGGAGCATGGCAGAAAATAAGCCCGAGTGGTTGCCAACGGCCCCACCATGCAGGCTTTGTACATCACAAGAAAATTCTGTTTTCTCAGGAGCCACATGGGAAGCTACTCAGAGGCTCACCTGGTGGTGATGTGATCAGATCGGTGTTTGAAAAGATCACTCCAGCTGTTGGCTGGAGAATGGAGTGAGGGCAAGCACTCTGGAAGGGATGATGGTGACTGGGACCTGGGAGATGATGGAGAGAGGTGCCCGACGTAACTTCAGGCACTCCAGAGCTTTCTGAGGCAAGGTGGCGGGCTGCAGAGTTCTGTGCATAGTCAGTAAACTTACTAAGTGTCTTCTCTTTGTAGGTCATGTGGCAGCTGCTGGGGATACAGTGAGGAGAATTACAGGCTGGTGGAATTAGAGTGAAAGAAATGTTGTTATCAAGGAGTAACACAGAGATGCCACAAGAGAAAACGGCTGATTGATGAGCAGTAATCCTAAATGGAATATCTGTTCATTCAGCAGATATTTATTAAGTACTTTTGTTTTGTTTTGTTTTGAGTTGGAGTCTCACTCTGTCACCCAGACTGGAGTGCAGTGGCCGCTTCCGGCCACCGCAGCCTCGCCTGCTGGGCTCCAGCGATCCTTCCGCCTCAGCCTTCCGAGTAGCCGGAATTACAGGCATACACTACCACGCCCAGCTGGTTGTTTTGATTTGTTGTAGAGATTAAGTACTTTTTGAATTCAGGGTTATGGATAGGAAGGCGAGGATACAAATTACTTAGCGCAGTGACTTTTAAACTTTTTGACTGTGACCTACAGTAACAAATACATTTTATGTTACAGCCAAGTGTACATACAAACACACAAAGCTTCAGAAAACAATACTTATCCGTACTACTTATGGTGTATCTAATATCTTAAAAATTCTGTCCTTTTCATTTAAAAAAAGGAATGGCTGGTCGAGAAATAGATTTCTTAACACATTAATGGGTTGTGGCATGCAATTTAGAAAAAAATGTTAGAATGGGAGTTATTCGTAGTGGCTTCTGGATAAAGATGATAAAATATGCTCCAAACATTTTTGGAAAAGGGATGGTCTTCCTGTACTGTTTTGTTTGTTTAAAGTAAAACGAGTAAACAAATAGGGGACTGGTTTTTTTGTTTGTGAAATTTTGGCATCTTGCTTGTACATTTGACTAGATTGGAAATGCTTAGAAGGCAGTGACTTACTCTGTGATGTTTCTTTTGAAAGATCCTGGCACAATGCAGGACATTCTGAATATTTGTTGAATCGATTAGGTAAGTGTCTTAGGACTAGAAGTTTAATAATGGTTTGGTTTACCTTAGCTCATGTTGGAACCATTCTTGCAAATATCACAGAAGCAGTGTCAGTCTATGGAGGTTTTATCAGTGTGTCCTCATGGGTAGTTCAGAGGTGGGTACAGTAAGTGTTCCAAGTTCTTTCTCTTCTGATCCTAGGCCAGCCCTTCTACCTGAATTCATTCTGAATGAATGGTGCAGAGCTGCCACTGATTTGAAGCCCTTTGGGAAGTTGTTTTACTCCTTGGAGATTGGGTTTTTATGAGTAAAAGATCAAGGGAGAAAAGCTCTTCACTTCCCAGACCTTTTCCAAGTTTTAGATGCTGAGCGTCCACTTTCTATCTTCTGTTCATTTCTGGGCCTTCCCCAAGGCTTATAGGAAACTGGGTATGTATATGATTTAATCATGCTTCTCAAATCATCTGGGACTCTTCATTGATAGTTTTCTTCCTTTTTTTATGCAGTAAGATTTGTCAAATTCAGTGATAGTTTTTCGGCAGAATTAATAGTTTAAGATGTTTTAGGCACAGTTACAGTTTAGAACGAACCACCCAGACTTTTTCCATCCTTTTTCTCTGTTATAAAAGAGAGATCTGAGGAAAGATCCTAAGGGTAGACAGTGGAAAAAACCTTGGACTGCAGGGCAGATACCCAGATACTAACTTGGATCTCTGTGTGACCTCAAGCACATCACTTTTCTTTAACTGGTATCTTTATAGTTGTGAAGTGAGTGTTCTTGCTTGTTAAACCAAAACACAAAAATTCTCTTCTTTTTGATTCTCATTTTTCTCATCTTATAAATCAGATTCAGGGTTGTCATGAGGATTAGGGAAAATAATGATGTCAGGATTCAAGATCTCCTACACAGAGAACACATAGCAAAGGAAGCATCCTTCCCCAAGTTCTGACTAGCTCTAATGTCTTTCTTTTTTAGCTCTTCTGGAGAATAAGAAGGGTTCTCCTCTTGGTCGTCCACCACTGGCCCCATGGCTGCCATGCAGATGGATCCTGAGCTAGCCAAGCGCCTCTTCTTTGAAGGTGCCACTGTGGTCATCCTGAACATGCCCAAAGGAACAGAGTTTGGCATTGACTACAACTCCTGGGAGGTGGGGCCCAAGTTCCGGGGTGTGAAGATGATCCCACCAGGCATCCACTTTCTCCATTACAGCTCTGTGGACAAGGCCAATCCCAGGGAGGTGGGCCCCCGGATGGGCTTCTTCCTTAGTCTGCAGCAACGGGGGCTAACTGTCCTGCATTGGAATGCAGTTCAGGAAGAGGTAGACCTGTCTCCAGTCCCAGAGTCTGAAGTAGAAGCCATGAGGGCCAACCTCCAGGAGCTGGACCAGTTCCTGGGACCTTACCCATATGCCACACTCAAGAAGTGGATCTCACTCACCAACTTCATCAGTGAAGCCATAATGGAGAAGCTACAGCCTGAGAGCCGGCAGATCTGTGCCTTCTCTGATGTGCTACCTGTGCTCTCCATGAAGCACACTAAAGACCGGGTGGGACAGAATCTACCCTGCTGTGGCACTGAGTGCAAAAGCTACCAAGAGGGCTTGGCCCGGCTGCCTGAGATGAAGCCAAGAGCCGGGACAGAAATCCGCTTCTCAGAGCTGCCCACACAGATGTTTCCAGCAGGGGCCACACCAGCAGAGATAACCAGGCACAGCATGGATCTCAGCTATGCCCTGGAGACTGTGCTCAGCAAGCAGTTCCCCAGCAGCCCCCAGGATGTGCTTGGTGAGAAGGAACAAGGTTCTCTGGGAGTGGGCCAAGGGGAGGGTATTGATAGAGGTGTTCTAGAATAGGGAGTACAACTTGTGTTACCTCATCCAGTGGTTCCCCAGCCTGGCTAGGGGGCAGGCTTACTCACCCAGAACCCTGGAGATTTTGATCCAAGAGATCTGGAGTGAGGTTCCAGCAGTTTAAACCCATCTTTCTATCTAATAAACATTCAGGGTGAACCTGGTGCAGATAATCCTGTATTTGGGAACTACTGATGGGGCCTGGTCCAATAGAGGGAAAGGATTTGGTTGAACTGAAACAAGAGCCTGGGGCTCCTGGTTTCTAGGCCTGTGTTCCTAGTAGTCTCCTCCCTCTTCAGTTTGCTCCAAACTCTTGTCAAGATGTTGATCCTTCTACTGACTTAGACCAGGACAGTGATTTTTTAAAAAATTTTTTATTGTTTTGCCCCCTTATTACAAAAATATTATATATTTATCATAGAAGAAAAACATAAATAAAATTAACTTCAAATCCCACCATTTAAAAATAACTTTTTTTTTTTTTGAGTCACCATCTCACTCTTGTCCTGGCTGGAATACAGTGGTGCAATCACAGCGATCATGGCAACCTCATCCTCCTGGGCTCAGGCAATCCTTCCACTTCAGCATCCCGAGTAGCTGGAACTACAGGCATGTGCCACCACACCCAGCTAATTTTTTTATTTTTCTGTAGAGACGAGGTTTTGCTGTGTTGCCCAGGCTAGTCTTGAACTCCTGGGCTCAAGCAGTCTGCCTGCCTCAGCCTCCAAAAGTGCTAGGATCACAGGCATGAGCCACTATGCCCAACCTAGAAATAACCATTTTTACATATTAATATATTGACTTTTTTCTTATATATTTCCATGTATTTCATCCAGTCTTTTCTCTATTTCTTTTTATTTTTTTTTGAGTTGGAGTCTCACTCCGTCGTCCAGGCTGGAGTGTAGTGGCACACTTATGACCATCCCAGCGTCAGCTTGCTAGGCTCTGGCAATCCTTCCGCCTCAGCCTTCCAAGTAGCCGGAACTACAGGTATGCACTACCACGCCTGGCTAATTTTTTATTTATTGAAGAGATGAGGTCTTGCCGAGTTGCTCAGGTTGGTCTCAAACCTGTGGGCTCAGGCAGTTCACTTGCCTTGGCCTCCAGAAGTACTGGGATTACAGGCTGAGCCACCGAGCCCAACCTTTTCTCTATTTCTATGTATTTCCTTTTAGTCTTTTAAGAACTCAAGTATGTGTGTGTATGTGTGTAATATATGACTTTTTACAAAACTGTATTAAAGTATACTGTTTTGTAATCTGTTGTAATACAAGCCTTTTCCCATGTTACTGAAATAGTCACTCCTTTATGGTGGCTGTTTTAGTGATCCACAGTTATGGAACCAGTTCTTATTGATGAACCTTTAAGACCTTACTATTTTTCCCTACCAAATATCGCCTACTGAATGTTCTTGTGTGTAGCTAGGTATATATTTAGGGTTAGAATTGTTGGATCAGAGTCAGTATGCTGCCAAGAGAAGGGTTGCAGCCTCACTGGTGTTGCCCATAACCTTTGACAGCACTCAGTGGGCTCCAGTGATCCTTCTGCCTCAGCCTTCCAAGTAGCCAGAACTATAGGCGCACACTACCACGCCCGGCTAATTTTTGCTTTGTTGTAGAGACGAGATCTTGCCAAGTTGCTCGGGTGAATCTCGAACCCGCAGACTCAGGCAATCCACTCGCCTGGGCCTCCCAGAGTCCTGGGATTATAGATTGAGCCACCAAGCTTGGCCTATATATATTTTTTGAGTAGGAGTCTCACTTCGTTACTCAGGCCAGAGTACAGTGGCATACTCACAGCCATCGCAGCCTCAACTTGCTGGGCTCAGGTGATCACAGGCACTTGGTCTTGCCAAGTTGTGACGAGGTCTTGCCAAGTTGCCCAGGCTGGTCTGGAACCCCTGGCCTCAGGCAGTCCTCCCGCCTCTGCCTCCCAAAGTGCTGGGATTACAGGCATATGCCACAACACCCAGCTATTTATATTTCTTAAATGCTAATGACAGCAAAAATTTTTTGTATCTTTTTTTTTCTGAGTTGGAATCTCACTCTGTTACCCAGGCTGGAGTGCAGTGGCACACTCACAGCCACCCCAGCGTTGACCTCGTGGGCTCTAGAGATTCTTCTACCTCAGCCTTCCAAGTAGCTGGAACTATAGGCGCGCACTACCACACCCGGCTAATTTTTTATTTATTTATTGTAGAGATGAGGTCTCACCAAGTTGCCCAGGCTGTTCTCGAACCCGTGGGCTTACTTAGGCAGTCTTCTCACCTCAGCCTCCCAAAGTGCTGGGAATACAGACTTGAGCCACCACACGCGGCCCATTTTTCACATCTTTAACGGCTTTTTTTGTTTTTTACAAATTGCCCTGGTAATTTGCATATTTTCCTATTGGAAGTTTGGAGAGAAATTTGATTATAGGACTTTTTGTGTCATTGGCTTCACTGATGAAATAAGGGATATTTTAATGGGTGCATCTTAATGCATGACTTAGTATTTTCATATAATAAGTAACACTTGAAATTCTGGCTTAAAAATGAATAGAAATCTCATTTTTCTACTTCTTAAATTCTTCAAAGTGTATCTTTTGAAATTTATAGGGATGACTGAATCTACATGACAACTCTTTGAAACTTTTTCTGATGTCATAATTTTAGACAAGGTCAGAAATGCACAAATTTAAATAAGTGCCCTCAATGGAAACAATAGGCAGTAATTAGTTTCACAAACTAACCAGGTAAAGCCAGCTGAAAAACCAAATCAATTTCTGTTTTTTGTTTTTATTTTTGAGTCAGAGTCTCACTCTTTCATCTAGGCTAGAGTGCAGTGGCATACTCACAGCCACTGCAGCATTGATCTGCTGGGCTCAGATGATCCTTCCACCTCAGCCTTCCAGGTAACTGGAACCACAGGTACGTGCCACCATACCTGGCTAATTTTTTTATTTATTGTGGAGACGAGGTCTTGCCAAGTTGCCCAGGCTGGTCTCAAACCCATGGGCTCAGGCACTTCTCTTATCTCCGCCTCCCAAAGTGCTGGGATTATAGGCATAAGTCACTGTGCCCAGCTAACTTCTGTTATACAAAGAAAATTTAACTATATTTTGAAAATATTGATCAAACATCCAAAGTATCTAGACCAGGTAGCTGTTTACACAAATCAAACTTAGCCTCACAAGTTTAAGAATAGGGAACTAGTTTTTCCAGGTCTCTGGAGGTGACAGAGATCAAATGCCATACATTTATTTGGTATTGAGTGCTTCTGTTATTTTTATGGCCCACACGTACGTGTACCTCATTAAATTTACGGCTACCTTTGAAGCCACAGAGAGAATGTCTGTGATCAGTAGCAGTATATCTGTAGTAATCAGATATCTAGTTGCTTACCCAGGGACAGTGGCTTCTGGGTTATCAGTTCTCTTTGAGGCAGGCGTCTGGTGGAAATTGGGAATGGCAATCTTATTATTTTTTCTTTTTGAGTCAGGGTGTCATTCTGTTTCCTGGACTGTAGTGCAGTGATATAGTCACAACTCACCACAGCCTCAACCTCCTGCTGGGCCCAAGTGATCCTTCTGCCTCAGCCTCCCAAGTAGCTGGGACTAAGGGCATGCACCACCACCACACCCGGCTAATTTTTTTTTGTAATTTTTTGTAGAGATGAGGTCTTGCTTTGTTGCTCAGGCTGCTCTTGAACTCCTCAGTTCAAGCAGCCCTCCAGCCTCAGCTTTCCAAAGTGCTGTGATTATAGGCGTGGGCCACTATGCCTGCCTCTAGGAATAGCAATGTATTTTTTGAGAGCACTTTGTGCCAAGTGTTATTCTAAATGCTTTACATGTACTATATCAATTAATCTTTGCTACAACCCTCAAATAAAGAAATTGAGGCTTAAATAGATTAACTTGCTTGTGGTCATACAGCTGCTAAGTGGTGGAGCTAAGATTTGAATCCAGGCAGTTTGGCTTTAGAATCTGTGCTCTTAGCTACCAAGCTGCTCATAGAGATTAAGTCACAGAGCCCTGTGATCAAACAAACAAAAATGATCTGACTGGCAGGCTGATGTTGGAGTAAACACTTACAAATGTTCCTTTTGTGGGAGGTTTTAGAATTGTCCAAGCCAATAGAGAGTCTGGTTATCTTTCCTATTGTTCACTTTGTGATGCATGAAATGTGCAATCTTGGGCAGCCCATAACCTCATAAAATGAGGCAAATACCACCTTCCCTGATCACCCTGTGTACTTCGGCCGAGGGATACATAATGTAATGCAGCATTTCCCTGATCCTGGAACAGATAATCTGCATCAGAATCACCTGGGGAGCTTGTTAGAGCTACAGATACTAAGGCCTCATCTCTCCTCAACAAGAATCTGAGGATGAGGCTTGGACAGCTTTACTTTAACAAGCTGTCTTAGTAATTCTGATGGACAGCCAGGTTTGGAATCCACTTGGCATAATATCCGTGGGACATTTTGTACACCTTTAAAATGCTAGGCAAATACTAAATACTTCTCTTGTAGTCTGATTTTACAGAATCCAAAGCCACAGCTTGGTCTCCCATGGCTTGAGTTTACAACAGTTCGGAAAACATTTACTGAGTACCTGCTGGGTGCAAAATCCCATGCTAGACTCTGCAGGAGTGACAGGGATAAAAGGTCACCCGTTGCTGAGATCCAGTGGAATTGATGGCCTTGTGAACGCTACAGGTAGTGTCAGCTGGTACTCCTCTCCCTCTGGATCATTTCTCCTCTCTGTGCCTTTCAGGTGAACTCCAATTCGCCTTTGTGTGCTTCCTTCTGGGGAATGTGTATGAGGCTTTTGAGCATTGGAAGCGACTCCTGAACCTCCTGTGCCGGTCTGAAGCAGCCATGGTGAAGCACCACACCCTCTTTGTCAACCTCATCTCCATCCTGTACCACCAGCTTGGTGAGATTCCCGCCGACTTCTTTGTGGACATTGTCTCCCAAGACAATTTCCTCACCAGCACCTTACAGGTGAGCAGTCTTTGGGCTGACACTCATGTGGGTCAGAATTAAGCAAGGGCATATATTTTGTTTCTTGCTATTCTTCCATGTCCCGGAGATTTCTTAATTTCAGTTTCCTAGTCTTGGGATGCTTCCTGGTTGTCTCTCTTCTGATCCACTGTGAGCTGCTCTGCCAGGGACCATCTCTCTGTACCACCCTCTCCCCACCTCGTCCCCAGAGTGCCTAACCCTGAGGTACTTGGAATTTGAATCCCTTCTACCGTTTTCTTTCTCCTTGTAGCCCTGAATTGCTGCAACCCAGTGAAGCAAAGTTTTGAAGCTTGTTATTCCCAGTGAAACATATACAGCTTCTTAGATCTCATTTAAGCATTAAAGTAACTTTGATTTCCTGTTCAAACAAAATGTGCCAGTTTCTGCAGAGATTCTGACAGAAAAGTGAAATTTGCTTTTAACTTAGCAATTAAATTTTCATTATGAGTGGTAATTAGGAAAGAAACTTCAAACAACTTGCAGTCTCATCCTGTGCTATTTCTTCCTTCTGCTAACAGATTAGTTTCCTTTATGTGCTTGGGACAGCCTCTGCCACTCTGTGGAACTTTCTCAGGAACAGAAGGGGCAGAAGCTGCTTGCTGTCAGCTTCCATGCTTCTCTCCCATAGCTGCTTGCTTCTCCCTGTGTGTGGGACCCTATGCGGCCTGCTCCATACAAGGTGCTACTCATCAACCTTCCACTCCCACCCAGAGTGAGGGAAGGAATGAGCACTCTTGAAATGCTGCCTGGGCATCAGGCACCTTATTTCTCATAGGTCCCCTCATTTAACCTCTCAAAAAGAGACTCAGAAAGATTAAATCATTTACTTGAAGTCACACAGCTGGGGTGTGGAAGCCAGGATTTGTACCCAGGCCTGAGTCTTGGCCTGTGCTTTTGTCCCTATGTAGTGAATACAGTGTGGGTCTTCCAGAAAGCATTCTTGATTGGCCTTAGTGGAGGTATCATCAAGGGCCTGGGTCTCAGAGGTACAGAATGCTTTTCTAAAACCAACGTACTGTTGGGAGAGTCCCTTGGAGCAGGCAGCTAACTAAGACTGTGGTCTAAGCACTTAGGCACACCATGGGGATGAATCTGTTAAGCAGTGGCCTGAGCCTGGTGTATTCCACTTTAGAAGAGTTGTCAGACTGCCGTGTTATTGGTTCTTGGTGAATCCTTTGATCCTTTCTCTGGGGGGAAAACTTCCCTGAAAGGTACTGGTTGTGGATTGGGGCAGTGCGGGGAGGCACTCACTCTACCTTGCCTCTGGGGTGTCTGCAGCCAATAGGAATGACGTGCTCCCCTCATGATGCGAGTCAGTGCTGTTGCACAAGTGCAGGAGGGCCCCAGCCACTGGCTGCCCCGACCATGGTCAGCACAACCTAATTGCCGGCAATTATTTACAAAGCAATTGGTTGCCAGCAATGATTTACAAAGCAGAAAGGGCTCTGCTGGATTGCTAGAAGCCCAGGTGGGTTGTGCAGTACTGATGGTTGGAAAAATTCTGTCTTTGGACTTTTCACCAAGAAAATTTGATGTCATTATTTGGAAAAACCCAGGGCATGTACCTTTAAAAAATATATAGCAACACATACTTTTGAGCATCCTTTCTGTACAACGTTCTGCTGAAAGTGTTGAGGAATACCTATGTGAGTTAGGGTTCCTGATCTCAACAGATTTGTTTGTTGATTCAGCAGATATTTACTGAGCATCTGCTGTGTACAAGGCCCTGGGAATATAGCTGTGAGCAAGACGGAGTCCCTGACTTAAAACTTATATTTGGGGAAAGAAGACAAGTGAACTAACCAAATAACTCCAGATAGTGATAAGTGTTTTAGAAGGCAGGCTTACCCTAGGATCATTTCCCTTGCCCAGACCTCTTGGTCTCAACTAGAATTCATCAGAGCTTATCAGCCTCTGTGCTTACCCCTTTTAGCTCATCTGTGTGCCACCTGAGTTGCTGCTCCAGAATGCAGCTCTGATTCTATTTCTCTGTGGCTCCCTGTTGCCTAGAAAATCAAAAGTGCAAACATTGGTCACAAGGCCCATTCTGATCTGGCTTCTTACCCCTCTATCTTCCCCTTCCTCTGCCTGTTTTCCCTCAGCTACTCCGGTGACAGTAATCTCCTTGCAGGTTCCCAGACAGACCATGCTGTTTCATGCCTTTAAAAAAAAGTTGTGGTAAAAAAACATAACGTTCAATCTGCCCTCTTTGTTAAGAGTTCAGTATAGAATTGTTAACTATAAGCGTAATGTTGTCCAGCAGCTCTCTAGAACTTTTCATCTTGCATAATTAAAACTTCATACCTAGGCTTCAACAGCTTCCTGACTGAACCTGATTTTCCCTCTGCCTGGCATGCGTTTGCTAGTCCTGCAACATGCCCTCAAGCCATCCCTCCTCTCTCAGTCTCCTTACCATACTCGTAGCCTACTCTGTACTTGTCACTGTGATATTGCACAGGTTGTGCTTGTTGAAATATATTGTCTGCCTGACTCTCTGACTGAGTCATGAGCTCCTTTTACACAAGGCTATTTTTTGTTCATCTGGTTATTTTCAACACGTTATCAAGGCCTAATACGTATCTCACTTTGTGTTATTGGGCATTTTTCGATGAATAGAGTGCATAATTCAAAGATATAAACAGTGAAGTCTGATCAAAGGGCATTAGGAACACCAAAGAGGAAGTGGTTAGTTATGAGTGGAATTGAGATTTGAGGGGATAGAGGATCAGGAATGGCTTTTGGCAAGGAGGGGCCTTGACCATGAACTTGAGGGATGACTGAGATTTTGAAAGGCACATGTGGACAGGATATTATACAACTTTTCTTTAAAATAAAGAGTCACATTGATGCCATCCTGGCAGTGAATCCAGTCCCCCACACAGAGTCACTCACTCAAGGTGTTTGTGACTGAATGAATCAGCCTATAAAAGCCTTCCTCAGCCAACCGCCTGCTTTCGCCCCAGGTAGTCAAGTAAGTGGAACTGCCTTTCTTATTTAGGAGCTTAAATGACTACTACCCATGGAGAGGCATTGGTGTTTGTGTGTGTAAGCACTTTAAAGACAGCCACATAATGGAATGGTCTCATGGATAAAATCAGCCACATAATGGAATGGTCTCAGCCATTAATTTTTTTTTTTTTTTTTTAACTTTCTCATGTAAGGCCCTTCTGAATAGAAGCCACTGTTTTGTTTTGTTTTGTTTTTACAAATCCCTTGGATTTAACTTGAATAAAAATTATTTGTTTTACAAAAATAGATACAATTTTTAAAATGTAAAGCAACTTAAGTCACCATAATTAATTTAATACCAATGAAAGGATAATCTTTATTTAATAGAATTTTAGAAAGTGAGTTATGTACAAAATAAGGATTTTTATTGCTGGCTGCATGGCATTTGGTCATACAGTCACATGACCTGTTTGTTTGTTTGAGTTGGAGTCTCACTCGATCGCCCAGACTGGAGTGCAGTGGCCGCTCCTGGCCACCGCAGCCTCGCCTGCTGGGCTCCGGCGATCCTTCTGCCTCAGCCTTCCGAGTAGCCAGAACTACAGGCACGCGCTACCACACCCGGCTGATTTTTTGATTTATTGTAGAGATGAGGTCTCGTTGCCCAGGCGGGTCTCGAACCCACGGGCTCAGGCAATCCACTCACCTCAGCCTCCCAAAGGCGCGGGATTACAGGCTGAGCCACCGAGCCTGGCTGACCTGTTTTTTTAAACTACTTTTAGGCACAGTAGGCTGTATATGCTTTCCACCTTCTCTTCTTGCCAGTATTCTAAATGCTGGTATCCATCCTCAGGGAAAACACTGATGAGAATGTCTGTAGTATTTTTCTTGCGACACTAGCTATGTTAAATTCACCTGCCTACTCCTGTGCCTCCTGCCATTAGCTGTTGCCTTGGTATGCTGACTGTGCATTATTACTGTTAGTTCTCACAGCAGTGCTAGAAGTTAGGGGTATAATCCCATTGCACAGATGAGCAAACAGCTCAGTGAAGTCAAGTGATCTTGCTCAAGATCAACAGAGCTAGTGGATGGCAAAGCTGAGCTTTGCATTCTGAAGCCTGTGGTATGCTCCCATATATGACTAGTCCCAGATGAAACATGCCAGATTTGTAAACTGACCTCACATGTCATGATTCCTATTGCTTTACACCTTCCTGTCATCACCGTGAATCACTAGTCTTGCTTTTAACACCATTTTCTTCTGCTGCAAGTGGAAAGAAAATGTTCTCCCAGTAGCTAGTTTCAATTTTAAGTTGAATAGCTTTTTGGGAATTGAAAAAATTAGGAAATTTCAACTCTTTGGTCTAGCCAAAAATATAGGATAAGACAGTTACTTAGCTACCTACCTTGAGCTTTTGAATTTCTCAAGTTGACCTAACTGAACTCTGTTTAATTTGGGTTTTAAAAAAACTTTCGCCAGGCTCGGTGGCTCAGCCTGTAATCCCACGCTTTGGGAGGCTGAGGTGAGTGGATTGCCTGAGCCCGCGGGTTTGAGACCCACCCGGGCAACTTGGTGAGACCTCATCTCTACAATAAATCCAAAATTAGCTGGGCGTGGTAGCACATGCCTGTAGTTCCAGCTACTTGGAAGGCTGAGGCAGAAGGATCACCGGAGCCCAGCAGGTCGAGAGTGGCCACTGCACTCCAGTCTGGGCAACAGAGTGAGACTCCAACTCAAAAAAAAAACAAAAAAAAAAACTTTCGTATTTATGACTAAAATAATTTAAAATTTTATAATACACAGACTTAATGATTATTTTATATTTGAAGAAAAACACCCAATGGGTGTGCTTTTTGTTTTAGATAAATGTATTTGTTTGCAAAATGTTATCCTATTTCAAAAGCATTTTTTAAATATTCAAGATTAATCTGAAATTAAGATGATTTATTTCCAGTGATGTTAAAAAGTGTTTACTTGACTTCATTGTAGTGAGTAAAATAACTAGATCATTGCTCAGTTTCCTGAAGAAGGC